AATTGCACTTTACTTTTACGATCGACACAATAAGCGAATCAGGGCACGACAAAAATTTCAACCGCGCGCCAACGTACCGTGTGAAATGAAAATTGTTGCAGGTTGACTAAGAAGGCCTTCCAATTATTTGCAGATAATAAGTGTATCAAGTGGGCATGTGATGACTACATGACATTGTGTAGGAAGCGAGTCTCTTCGAGGAGTTCTTTGAGCACCTCCAAAGGCTACGTTGATTTTTCCACAGTATTGAACAACATCGTGGTAGAGCGCCCGGACCCGCAGGAGCCCTCGGGGGTCTCCAAACCTCTAGCGATCCTAACCACCGTCCAAAGCACAATGAACAGACACGAAACAGAATTGGTGTTTTAAATGACACTGTACGACCCATGAAAAAGGCCCTGGGTAGATTAGAACAGTACATTGAAATAGCCTTGGGCAGAACTAGAAATGTGGTGACTAAGGAAGTACCTGAACCCTTTTGCGTTGTGGTGAGACAAAGGGAACGCGAACTAAAACACCACTTGTTGAACATACTTAAGATGGCAGGGATACCGGGGCACGCGACCATCAAGCGCACCTTCAGGGAGGTTGCGCCAAGTTCGATATTGGTCAGATTCCGTAACCCGAGGCACCAAGACTACCTCCTGTCCGCGAGGAGTAAATTATTGAAGCTCACCAAGGGTAAAATATATGTAGAGCCAGGCCACCTGGTCAAGGGAAACCACAGGGCTACCAGGTCAAATGACAGAATAGGGGAGTCCAGCACCAGTAAATTGGAACAGGTAGGGGTTAGGATCCAACTATCCCGACTACCTAATCGCTCTCAAAAGCTGGCACTGGGGAGTGTCACCTACGCCAGTATAGTCTCCATACTGGATACGAAGCTCAGGGAAGAAATACCCGTGTCCACATCGTCACCATTGGACAGAGCCTCAGATCCAAAACACGGATTAGGAGCTCGTAGGTAAACTCCGAGTCTCCCCGCAGTCAGACTAGCACTTAAAACTCTTAATCAGGCAACCTCAAGGTTCTCTGTAGCAATGTCTGCAGTGTGGGTAACAAATGGGCGGAGTTGTGCTCGGAAGCACAGGACCATGACTGCATTGCTATTACGGAAACTTGGCTGAGATCTGGGGAAGTCATAGAGCGACTAGATCCCAGAGGCTACAGTAGCTATAGAGCTGACAGAGAGGATGGCAGATGTGGGGGCGGAGCACTAATCTTGGTGGCACAGCACATAATACGAAAGGAAGGTGGTAAGATAACAATGCCAAACTTCCAGGCGATCACCTGTTTCGTCGAAGCGGCTTCAAAGAAAGTGAAGTCAGTATGTGTATACAGAAGCCCCCCAGTGGATCGGCATGAGGACGAACGGTTCATCCAATACCTATTGGGCTCGACCGACCCAAACGTTTCAGTGATGCTACTGGACGTGCGGTCAAAAACCAGACCATTTTAACAAAAATTGAACGAGCTCTTGGGGTTAAATTGCGAGGTAAAGACAAAGGACAGCCCCTGGGTGGACCGAAGAAGAAATGATTTGTACAGACCCCTGAGGCTAATCGAGATTATTTGATGTTAAATAAACAATGTTACATGGATTCCTTTCTTGATATTGTTGGCTACTTAAATTTTGCCTACCGCGTTATCGCAGAAATTATTCAGTTTAGAGATTCTCTCAAGCGATATTCCACGTGTGGTTCATGATAAGTGCACTTATCGGTAACATTATATACACCCGGGTAGGGAAGTCCATTAGCGAATAAAGTATGGCACTATCTTGGAAAATCTATGTACAAGAGTACATTCCGGTTTATTGTGACAGCACTCAACGGTTGTCGGATAACCGAAACTTATACTCTAGTCGTCATTTTCAGTTTACATTTCACACACATCTATAGCCATATTGAAGAAAGCAACTGAGGCTAGAAATCGGAGTGATAATGGAGTAAAGCTAACAGTACCACCACGCGGGCGCTATGCCAACTGAAAAGAGCGGTATGTTCGAGAGAGCCAAGTGTCCTCTTGCCGCTGTACGAGGCGCTTGTCCAGCAACACTTGGAATATTGCGTCCAATCCTGGAGGACCAAATTTGTGAGGGACAACAGTCTTCTTGAAAATGTACAGCGTCGCTTCACCAAGTGATCTGGTCACTGCGGAAGGCTTGAGTACTACCAAAGGTTGCAGGAGTTAGGGCTGTTCTCTCTTGAGAGGAAAAGAAGAAGAGGCGACCTAATAGAAGCGTTCAAAATAATCAAAGGCTTGACGCAGTTGGAGGGCGACAGTGAACCCATTTTTAAGATGAGAGAGTGAGACCCTTAGAGAGCACGCTCTGAGGCTGAAGAGAGAAAGACCCAGATTAGGGATCGGAGGTCACTTCTTTGCAGTAAGGCATAAATGACTGGAATAATCTGCTGAGTGAAGTGATATAAATCAATACGGTAACGCAATTCAAGCTGCAGCTTGCCAGAGCGCGGGGTAAAGTATTTGGCGAAGAATGAATAACACTGCAGAAGTTTCATCACGGTGACTCACTTAGGGGTGTTCTTTTCATACTGCACTAATAACCTATTTTTTCAGTTTTCGATGTGTACAGGTCTGTCACATAAGCGTGCACGGAGCAGGATAACAGAATCAACCATTCCCTGAAGACCGTCGTCAAATCGAATCATCATCATCGAACAGCGAGATACAGTGAAGCGAACTGCACTGATCACAGAGAGTACATAATCTAAGTGTGTATACATACCTTTTCAAGCATTCTGACTTGATAAGAAATGACATTGTTGTCGGTTAGTCGCCATATCCTTTGATGTCTCCAGCCAGCCAGTTGCAAAGTCTTTCGGACCCCAACCTGGAAGACATCGATTCTACTTGATTGCTTGGTGCATTTCTTCATTCCTCGCTTACACGTCATCTGCTGACCACGCGGTTTCTTCCAACCTGAAGCTGCAACTGCGAATAAGGCGCTGTGCGGCAGATGATGGGTTCACGAGAAGGAGGTCTTGTATCGCAAATCTTTTGTCCTTCCTTGATAAAGTCATGGGCAGAATTGATCGGGGTGAGACAGCTGAGGTGTGTTACATGGACTTCCAAAAGGCCTTCGACTCAGTTATCCACCATTAACTTCTAGTTAAGATTAGAGCGCTCCAAATAAACGAGGGTATTCTACAATGGCCTGCTGCTTACTTCAGTAACCGACACTTTTAAGTTAAGGTTGATGAACAGAGATCTCGGTAAGCAGGCGTCTCCAGTGGGGTGCCACATGGTTCAGTTCTGGATCCGATTCTGTTCCTTATCTACGTTAACAACGTGGCTGGCTATCTTGCGTCTTCAGCGTTCATCTTTGTAGATGATCTCAAAATAGTAGGTAGGCCGGAAGGTAACAAAATGCAGGAGGACCTAAATAGGGTGTACAAATGGGTGAATGAATGAAAGCATCCATTAAACCCAGATAAGTACAGTCACTTAAGAAACACACGGATTTCGGTGAACCGCTACCTGAATACGGAGAACCTGAAGTCAATCCCACAAGTAGAAGGAGTGAAGGACATAGGAGTCCTAGTTACCCAGCATTTCAGGCCATTCGAGCAATGCCGGATTACGGCCACCAATGCCAACCGAGCACTGTACCAATTGCTACCTACAGTTGCTTCAAGGGAGGCCAGATTAATATTGCCTTTGTACAAGGCATTTGTGAGACCTCATCTGAAGTAGTGCATCCAGACATGGGTGCCGGAGCTGGTTCGGGATACCCAGCAACACGAGGGTATACAGCACCGTTTCACGAAACTCGTCGTGGGTCTTAGGAACCTGAGCTATGGCGAGAGGCTTCGGTGGCTGAAGCTGTTCTCCCTCAAAAGAAGAAGACGAGAAGGGATCTAGTGGAGACGATATAGGGATTCACGACAAGGGATAAACCTCTCTTTAGCCTTTGTGGGAACCCAGCACTGAGAGGGTACACATGGAAGCTCGACAAACCCAGAGAGAGTACGACCACTAGAGCACAATTTTTCAGGATGATTAGAGCCTGGAACAAGTTACCTACGGATGTGGTAGCGGCAGAATCAGTTGCCGTCTTCAACCTCCGACTCGACCAATATTGAGAGGAAGTGTTCCCGGGGGACCTCCATCTTTAGGAGTGCCCTCAGATTACATATATCATTTTTTGTTCCCTTTCTTCCTGAGTTATTCCATTTACTCTCAAAACCTCACATTTAAAAGTGTTCTACTTCTGATTTTATACTTGGATACCTCCAACTCTTTTGACCTGCCCGAGATCCTGCTGGAGGGATTGACCACGGGTGGGGGGGGGGAATATGCGACGTCGGATAGGCGGCGTGAACCTGCACAATTCCGAATGATTGGTTCTCCTGACAGGGTAAACGGGCTGCCAGCCTTACTCCTTCGCAGACGCAGTACAATAACGAATACATACGAAACTCTGTCAAAGCACAGTGAGAAGACGATCGCAGCTCACCAGTGCAAGAAACTGGACAATACCTGAAATCAGCCGCACGTCCTGGGACCCCACCTGATCTGAACCGTCCGGTATTCCAGTATTTGGTTCACCAAGGGTTCTTTACTGGTCCACGGATTGCAGAGTACAATATCTGGATCACTTCTGAAATAAGCAGTCTACTCACGATTGAACACGGATAAATTGCCTACATCTAGCGCTGTTACGCACTGTTAGGTAAGCGCTTATATCGACATAAAATAGACTGTAAAGAAAAGACGAAGGGAAGCGGAAGGATAAGGGTGAAGTTGTGGTACGATAATGATACGAATATTAATAATGATAATGGAAATGAGGAAGCGTCTAGAGGAAGAAGGGGGTGCGTAATTGAGGGATGAAGCAAGGCGGCAAGGCCCCGGAATCAGATAAGGTTGCGGAACATGGCAGCCCAGCTCTTGTCCAGTCTGGCCTTGAACTGCACTACAGTCTGAGCTGAGACTACCTCCGCTGTCAGTCTGTTCCATGCGTTTATCAACCTATGGGAGGAGAAGTTCGCTCTTATGCTCTTCGAAGCTCTGGGTTTGCTCAATTTCAATCCGTTGCTCCTGAGGGAAAAGTTGTTATCTATGCTGAGTATGGGGGCTCCTGTGCTGGTGATTCCTTTCAGGAGCTTGAAGGTCTCTATAAGATCCTTCTCTCAACCTTCTCCCTCTCAAGGAGAAAAGTCCTAGCCTCCCCAGACTATGCGTGCTCGTGAACCTTGAGAGACCCGGGAGAAACTTTGTGAATCTCCTTTGTATCCCTTCACTTGTGTTCATGTCTCCAACTTTGGTTGATACCCATACCTGGACTCCATACTCTAAGTGGGGACGAACGAACGCCTTGTACAGTGGAGGCGGGACTACTGGGTCCCTGAATGTAACAGTGCGTTGCAAGTGGAACAATCCTTTGGAGCCTTCTCAGCAGCCTCAGCACATTGTGTTGACGGCTTAAAGGACTGGCGCCTAAACACCCCTAGGTCCTTCATCGTTTCTCTGAATTACCAGAGAATTACCAGGGTTAATGTAGCGAACTACAGGGAAACCGTCAGACACTAAGTACCTGCACTTGCCGGTGTTTAGTGGTGGGCTCCAGGCCACGGACCATTGATAGAGGGTGTCCAAGTCCTGCTGTTTGACATCCCTGGTTGGACTTCCGATAATGTTAGCACCATCAGCAAATAGGAATCACGGCGTCTGCAGCCTTTGAGCTAGATCGTTAATAAAGATTAAGAACAGCAAAGGCCCAAGCAATGATCTCTGTGGTATCCAACTGCAAGCTAAGGTGTAGGTAGATCTGGACTCTTCTACTTTCACGTAGAAGTTTCGCCAACTTAGGTATTCTCCTACTAATTCTATCATCTCGGAGCAACTTGCAGGTTCCTTAACTTAAGCAAGAGCAGCCGATGGTTGACCGAGTCAAGTCATTCTGGAAATCCAGATAGCAGATTTTAACAGGGTCACCGCGGTATGGTCTGACAGTTACTTCGTCAAGGAAGGATAGCAAGTTCGTCAGGCAAGACTTGCCTTTGACGAACCCGAGCTGCTGAGGTGCTGCGAGACGATGCTGGGTTAGGTGGCTAACAACGGCATTTCTTATACATTTCTCCATCATCTTAAGTAAGATGCACAGAAGACTTACCGGTCGGTAATTTCCGGGTATCTCCCGTCGTACAACTTTAAATGCTGGTATAACCTCGACCGTTTTCCATTTGTTTGGAACAACAGTCGATTTAGGCTGAGGTTAAAGAGGGCCGCAACTGGTGATACCAGGATGTCCGCCAGGCGTTGAATGATGGCTGGGTGTAGCCCGTTGGGACCAGCCGCCTTGTGCTTGTTGGGGTTTATGAGTTCCACAGCTACCTCAACACTGGTGACATACAGTTAAGGCATTTCTTGTACAAGGCGTGAGGGCAGGGTGTCCGGTTGGTGGTCGTCGTCCTCTGAGTAAAGGAATTTAAAATAGCTTAGTAGGCCCTCGGCCTTTTCATTGGCTGTCATGGCCAGTGTGCCCGGGGAGAGTTCAATATTACCTACTGACT